GATCCTTCAGGTAGGATTTAATCCTTGCATCTGCATCTCCTATTCTTCCATGCAGATACCTTCAACAGCACTGTAATCCAAATCAGTCGAAGCATACTTTTGTCTGTCGAATTCTCGGTGAGGATTCTGTAACATAAACTAAGTTCATATCTGTTTCAAAATGCACCTCCATACTCAAATTAACTGGGAAAAATAGCTTTATTCCTGTCATGTAAAATACTTTTCTTTCAGATTTTCTATGTCAAAATCAAACGTNTAATCCAAAGTATCAAAATTTTTCTAACTCTAATCAATGCATCACAATTTTGTGAAAGCAGGGTTCTGCTTTCACAAAATTCCATACCTCAACTTTTAAAGAACTGACACCCATGACTAGGATTGTGCCTACTGTAGACCTGTTGAAGCCATACTGCCTAGCAACATTAGACATCTGCCCACTCTCTATCTGTTGCTAAATTTTTATAGTGAACACAGTTCTTGACACTCCACTCTTTTTAGGTCCCATAATATTATCAGATTTTTAAATAAAAAGTTCAGAAAAAACACACAGAAATTCGGAGAACAGAAATCAACTAGTGAGAAAAAGGTTATGTATACAACTATGAAAGTCTTATTCTTTAAAGCATTCATAGATACCAGTAAAATATAGGCTTAGTTTAACAAGTCTTAAATGCATCATCGTTTTTTCTTGTGTTTGTTCTGTTAGGTGATTGGGTGTTTGTTATCTGAACATAAAAATCTTTTGCAAAAGTGTTTATTGTCTGATTTGTTTGCAGTCTGAACTGTTTGTTAACCAATCACCCACTGTGTTTATATTTTATTTTATGTGCTTGAAGTTGTTGTTTGTTAAGGTATGGCAATGCAACACTTGGGTGATCTGCCTAGGACGCATGCCTTCCGGGAGGTCTTTTTAAGGGAAACTAGCCCCTATTTAGGCATTACAGACATGGAGAAAACCTGGAATACTCACATAGCCAGCCTGTCTGAGCAAGGCGCAAACCCATGACTGAACTCCCAGTGTTCAGGGTACGAAGACTGCTTGGCCACTAGTTTTGTGCGCTTGATGTTTCATTAGTATATAAAATACATTTTCAAATATATCTTTCTGTATACAAAATTACATTCTAAAAATTTTATAAATAACATCAAATATTATTTGAGACATTTCAGTCTGGAGTTATAGAATTTTGTAGTTATAAACCTGAATCAGGTATATAAAATAAACCAAAAACATTTGTTAACAGATATTACCTACAGAAACAAGGTATGCATATGGGTTCCTCTCTTTTTGCTGTATTATGCAGAATGTGGAATTTAAGATCTTTAAATCTTCTCTGACAATATATTATACATTCCTCTATATTTGTTTTGTTGACAGTATGTTATTAGCCTGAAAGAGTTTTTATGAAGAATTATTACAGTTCATGCAACTATTGTCCACTGTTTATCCATCTATAACTTCACTGTGGAGGATAACAAAATCACTTTCTTAGACCTTTTTATCAGTTTTATATTGTTTATCATAAATTTGGCTTAACCCCTCACATTACTCCCTATACATCTTTTCAGCCACTTTCTTACAAAAATGCTGTTTTATTTGCTTTTATATGTAGAATTGACTTGTATCTGTCCTCACAGCTTTTGATGCAAAAGAAGCTACAATTTGTAACTAAAGTGGTGACTAGGGCAAGATACTGTTGTTCTAAGTTTAACTATATTAAAATGTTCTAGTCCAAAGATCACTATTTCCACTAACTACTTTACATGCTAAGGTATTTGCCCAACCTTCTATCCTATAATTAGGTCCTGTTTCATTATGAGTTGTTTACATTTTCATAAAACAGTCTCTCCTTGTGCAGTAAAACTCAATTAACTTTATACTTAGAGAAATCATTCAATTATGTACATTTGCAGCACTTGCAGATGGATTTGAAGCTAAATTAGATAAGAGCCATCATCAGAAAACTGTAATCATCTGGCCAAATATCAAGATTATACAGTCAAACCTGTTTATAATGGAATCCCATGGGACTGAGAAATTATTCCATAGTAGATAGATTTCACCCATATACAGGTTATCTACTACAGGCATTCCTTGATTAATGTAATTAAATAATCCCTCAATGCTACCATGTATATCAAAATGGCATTAATCAAATACAGTGGTATCTCAGTATTTGACTGTACAATCATCACCTGCTAGAACAAATTTTCAGTTAATAAGAATGATTTTTATTTTAACTTTAATTTTGTCATCCATAAAAAGTTTTCTATGATAAAAATGAGTAACTAATTTAAAAATAAAATGAAACATTAGAGCTGCCTACCTTTGTCAGATAAAATTATACTTAATCCAGTTTGTTTTTTTCACTTAATGTGTGCAGAACACAGTCATCATGTTTTACAACCATTTCAAATGAATGAAGTGTATCAACAATATTTGTCTGTGACACACTAAGATTTGTTGGAAGTTTGTGAGTTGTTATTCATCTATTTTTATCAATTTCTACCTGCAATTTTTCTTTGTCAGTTTTTTGGTACCCTGTACATTATGTATCCTTTAGTTCAAAATTTCCCAAATGAAACTTTCAAAACCACATTTGATACATTTGAAGTTTAGGAGCATCTTCCCTGTACACACCTGTAATTTTTTACCATTTGTATAGAGTTATATCTTCTACAAAACTTAAAAAGCTTAATACTTCAATACTACAAAACTTAAAAAACTTAATATACCCAATATGCATTTTATCTGCATTGTGTTGACTTGATTTTATTCAAATAAAATGTGTAAAAAGTTGAAAATAAGCTTGTAAACAAAGAATACAATTTCACAATAGCAATAATGTGTTAAATTTCACAACTTTTATAATAAAATCACATATCTATGTTAAGTAAAGAAGCTGTTAAAAATACACAACAAACTTTCAGTTGAGCATGGAAGAGGATACTGAATTTTCTGTTATAAGGAGTGATTTTCCTTTCCATTTCTACATTGGACAAGTTTTGTTGTATACAGGTTAAATTACATTGATTTTTGTAGAAAATTTAAGCAACTACAGAAATCTTCTGTTAATGACACATTTTCACTATATACAAGTTTGACTCTATTTTAAATGATTGATGCTCTACAGAGCTTACCAAGAACATATTGGAACAGAATTATAATCCTTTGTTTGGAAATATCAATACTGAGGCACTATACAGATGAGGGATGGCAAGCCTTTTTGAGCCTGTATGCCATATGGTAAGCATATTTAACTTTAAAGATGTTTATGCATTCCAAAGTTTTAGACTTTGAATAATGATATTTAAAGAAATTAAACAAGTATGCTTTAAATGTAAAAAAAGCTGATTGAAAAAGGATTATCAGGTGATAAACTGAAAGGATGATTGAAAAAAGCAGATGATAAATCAAAATTATACAATTCATTATGTGCCATTTTGGGCATATGCCACTCCTGGTGTAGATTGAAGAATCATATTTATTTAGGAAACCTTATGTATAGAAAATAATGACTCAGGTAATAAGCTGACCTTGATCTCCTGGATCTTTGGATATTGCTCTTTAAAATGTTAGAAATTATCTTTGTGTCTATGGTACCATGGATCAACTTTCACTAAAAAACTGTAATTTTGATTTTTATAATTGTTAAAAAGTTATTAATTTTATAAATTTTTCCTTTATATATTTGTTTTATATCAGTTTGTGTTTGTTATTGTTTAATCATTTACTTAAAAAATCATTAATGCATGTAAGAAGAAATTTTTAAAAATTTTGTTCTCTTATTTAAAACGTTGTTTGATAGTCCATTTCAACAACAGCTTTGTCTGATGAAGTAATGCACCATTAAAAGTATTTGATTATATCTATTGTGTTTATTAAAAGTGTTAATACCAAACATAATCTTTCGAACAGCACTTTTTTTAGTCTTTTTCTCTTTGCACACTGGTAAAATTATGGATAACTTTACGAGGACAAGTAATTATATGAAACTAAGAATTATGCTTATTTATTTGACTTATGTACAATAACTTTAGATAAGCATGTATAACAAAATAATAACTCTAGATTATTAAATAATAATCTATTGTACATACTCTAGATTATTGTACATACTACATACTTGTACATGCTTTGTATTTAAGTGTCACCTGTAATTAACTGCATCAGCTCCAATGTGGTTGAATATTTTTCTGCTGATTGACAGTTGAAAAACACTGCTTTATGTTGATTAATATATTTGCTGTTTTTTTAAAATTAGCATTGTTTTTCATTTATATAATAAGTTCTTGTACATAAGTTATAACAACAATAAATATTTTAATCACAAAAGTCACAGTCTGTCCAAAAATTATGTTTTGAAACCACCATTTATTCTGATCAAGTGAATATAAGGACTGAAATTCCCTAACTGGAAAGGATGCAAGTTCAAGACATCTGTAAGGCCGCCAGTTCCAATTCTTTACTTTTAATGTTTTAATTGGATATTTTTGTGTGTTTTTTAAAAGAATGTTTTAGCCTGACGACCTAGTAGCCTACAAAGGAAGGTCGGGTTGTTGATGGTGTTCTGGAACACATGATCAGAATAAATGATGGTTTCAAAACATAATTTTTGGACAGATTGTGTCTTTTGTGATTAAAATAAATTTTCATCCGGCGAAATTCTACAAACAATAAATATATTATTGCTTATTAAATAATTCATTGACCATTTTTTATTGCTTTCTTTAATACATTGTACATAGTTTTTCATAACCATTATTTTTTGCCCTTTTGTTTCTCTCCTGTGAGACCAGATCTGCCCCCTCTCAAGGACCCTGGAGTAAGTTTGGACAGGGTCTGGTTCAATGAGCCAAACTTTACAATGTGAAACTAATTTATGAAACTTACATATTTATATTGCATTAAAAATACATTCAAAGATAACTTTATTTTATATATGTCAACATTAAATTAGGAAACATTATATCCAATTAAAGTGTGTATATATATTTAGGTAGATTTAGTTCAAGAAGAATTACACAACAATGTCAGAGCTGAAGTGGCATTATCGGGAGATGTTACAGCTATTGTGGAACAAGTAAATTTTTTTAAAACAATACATTATCTACAACTGAGTTTAATATAATTAAAAAAATGTACTTTATTTTAAGTTACATAAAGAATTAGAACTAACTTCTTGGATTTTTCCACAACAAAGTAATTGGTGGATGACATTAAAAGAAAAATGTGCAGCAAATGCTGCAGCTGTTCAGGTAATAAACCAGTTCATCATACTTAGTAATTCTCATTGAATTTTATCAAATCAATTTATTCTTTTCAATATAATAATTTCTTATAAAAATGTTCAGACTTTATGCTCATCAATAGAAGTGAACAAGGTAAAAATGAAGATTGAGAGAACATACTAGATTGTCTCCATGTAAAATGTTCTGTCAATCTTTGTTTTTTTCTTGGGACCAAAAAAAACAGAACTTCATTATCTGGGTTTGAATTTAAAAAAAAAAAAAAAACAAATTATCAGGGTTTGAATTATCTGACTTTTTCAAATTGAAGTTTTTTGTAATTCTTGAATAAAATCATGGCATTATTACATTATTTTATATAATTTCACCCATTCATTTACAAATGTGTTAATATCACAAGTTATTACTTAGTCATTTAAGATATTTCAAAAAAAAAAAAAAACATCAGTTGGCATGAACTTAATGAAAACAATGAAATGTAACCAAATTATATTCAAAGCAAGACTGGAAAATAACACATGAAAGAAGCTTAAATGCTTCAATAAGAATTACTGCAAATTTTATCTTGACTTCAAGACTACAAAAATTGTGATCTGATGAAAACAAACTATTAATGGCTAAAGCTATAAGTATGCATTCTATCATTAATATGCATGCATATATAATGGAGTTTGGAGTTATTGAAACAATAGATTTTTGCAAAAAAAATGTCAAAAATAATTAAATGCTAAAAAGGTTTCTTCTGTAAAAATAAAAAAATTTTCTCTTTGTTGACAATGTGTACAATGTCCAAATGACATAATGACCTAGAATTTATATCCAATAAATCAAAAATGTATAATTGATGTAAATTAAATTGCCATTTGGGCATGGAAACTTTCTTATAAACATGTAATTTGAGGGAAGATTTTGAATTAAATGATATTTTTGCAGGTCACCAGACCAGATAATGACTTACTTGTTAGAATTTTATTGTATGCGTATTTCAAATTATGCAACTGAAATATATGGAAAATCCTATTCTCTTTGCCAGGGACTAGACTTGACTTCGAATTATATGATACTTCAAATTATCTGATATCAAAATAACAAGGATTTATTGTATTCTAAATTAATTTGGACAAATGAATCATTGTTTTTAAAAAATAATTAAATTTTATGTTAGGAACAACCAATTCTCTAGGCCAATTTTATTTATATTCATAGTAATTAGTTAATAATAATTAAATAATTGAACAGACCAAATAGAAAATTCTAATGCCAACAAACTGATAATTCAAAAACCATGCTTATTTTCAAATATTTGATGATACTTTACTAATCTGCCAATATCTAATAGAACATTGTATAGTTTGTATCAATATCTAAAGATAAAGTAAATATTTATTATTTAACTTATTAATAGCTTATCAAACATTCTACCAAAGTTTCATGTTCATTGAACACTATATGGATTCTCTTTATCAATAACTTAATTGATTATTAATACTTTCACATTTCCTAGGAAATGGCAAATGATGAATCGTTACCCATGAATTATTATGCAGCTTATAAACAAGTAAGTATTTTTATATTTTTAATTTATTATTTTGGTGTATTTTGTAAAAATAAAATATTTAGTTATTCATGTTTATCAAAAATAATGAAACATTTTAATTTGTTGTATTTTATGTCAGGTAAACAAGTACACAAATATAACTAAATAATGAGCTTTCAGGTTTTCAGTTAAGTCAACCTAATGTCATTCAAACTAGAAAATACCAATCAGAGTTCAAAAAGGAATGTACAAAAGCTATAACAAGCAATTATTTACAACAAAGTCTCTCCATAGACTAACAATAGAAACATTTTTTTCTATTATTAGTCTATTGTTTTAATTATTATGTTGGACCAAGAAAATTAATAGCTGGAATAGAGTCATATGACTAAAAGGGAGTCGGTTGCATTAAAAAGTTTTGGGTTTAATAATTGTTTCAAACCACATCAAGTCATAAACTTCTCGTGATTATCAACATTGCCAGCAATTAAAGTAATTATACTCCTTGTGTCAACAAAGAGGATTGTAAAATGGTCTGGGGCCAGACCATTTTACAATCCTCTTTGTTGACACAAAACTTAATCCTATCCTGGCCCTTCTTCAGAAAAGGTTGTGCATCCCTGATTATGGTATCAAGTTTTTTCAATTTTATGTATAAAAATCAATGTTAGATCTGCTGATACAATATTTGTATACAACTGCCATATGAGGTTGGGTTAAATAATGGCTATAATAATTATAAATTACAAATAAATTTGACCCTAGAGGGAGGTGTTTTGTGCCATTTTGTATTAAATTTAATAATTATAATTTAAAATTCAATCATTTTTAGATTAAACTGGAAGAAAAGAATCAGCCTGGAGTGGGTTGGTTGCGGTTTTTTGGTACAAGGGCCACAAAGGCCAAGCTGTGCCATGCCTGGAGTGGGACTTGAACCTGCAACTGCTGCATACCATGCAGATGCATTGCCAGTTACGCTACCCAGACCTCTAGTCCAATCTCCTCTTCCAGTATATTTAATTAATATTAATTTACATTAACATTAATTAAATATACTGGAAGAGGAGTTCCCACTCAGGGCCAATTCTTTTCTTCCAGTTTAATCTAAAAATTATTTAATTAAATTTAATATGAGATGGCGCCTAACACCTCCCTCTAGGGTCAAATTGTAGTTTATAATTATCATAGCCATTAGCTAATTAGCCGAATCTCATAAGACAGTTGCAGTAGATTTATTGTTATGTATTGGGTTTGGTAAAGATTTTTAAATTTGTTCAATATTTGCATAGGTCAATTATTATAGACTATTATTTATTGTTTTAGAACTTAAAAATGTCATATATAATATATATTTTGAAAATCTTTCTTTTAGATAAAAGATATGCTACCAAATGATGTCCTTATTATAAATGAAGGTGCAAATACTATGGATATTGGACGAACAATGCTTCCTAATATATTGCCAAGACACAGGTTTATTTTTTAAAATTTAAATTATTAAATTTTTAGAATTATTTATTATTATTTTTATTTATGTAAATTTTAATTACAGATTAGATGCTGGTACATTTGGAACAATGGGAGTTGGTTTAGGATTTACTCTAGCTGCTGCACTGTGGTGTCAAGATTATGCTCCACAAAAACGGGTAGTTTGCGTTATAGGTGACAGTGCTTTTGGATTTTCTGGAATGGAAATGGAAACCATTAGCAGGTATACATGTGAATATGGAGATAACATTTATTTCTTGGGACAGGAGAGGATCAGAAGTTAACTATTATGATGTGTTTAAAATGAAATAAGCAATATGAACATTTATTGATGGTTTTGTTTCCTTGACTTTTATTGGTTGTGAGTACAAATCATTATCTTTCCCATCTTATCCTAATTTCAGAGATTTGTTATCTTAAGGAATTGTTGTCCTTTCCTGTTTCAATGTCTGTTTTTTCCTTTGATCTCTTTCCTACTACCTGTTTTTCATAAGTTTATTTTGTTGGTTCTGTACAAATGTTTTACAAAATTGACAACACAATTTTATTTAAAAATTATTTTATACTAGTTTAGCCTTATAAAATCATCTGTCAAAAATTATAAAAAGTTTGGGTGCAAAGCCCCTTGGCTTCCTGTAGCAACCCAACTCTCTGCTCACTTCACACACTTGTTCCCAATATAGACTATTCATAACAAAAATTTTAATATATACCCCTGTGATCAAAAAGTATTGGGAATGGCTCAGTAAAATGCAAGATGTGAATTTATTATTTAATGCAAGAATTTATTCATCAAAATTTTGTCCCCATCAAAGTAATCCCCTCCCGTTGTGGTGGATTTATGCCAACATTTTTTCCGATCCTCAAAACATGCTTTAAAGTCATTTTCATGAAATTCCTTTGGGACTTTCAGTGAATTTTGTTTTATGGCCTCAATTAATTCAGAAACTTTAGTCAAAGAAACAGGAAAAAGTTACACAGAACCATATTTGTTGAATTTTTGACCAAACATTCATGAATAACAAAAGCATTGTCAGCATGTGCACTATTGTGGTGCAAAATCCATGAGTTTTCTCGCCACAAATCTGATCATTTTCTACAAATTGCTTTCGTGCAGATAATGCAAAAAACATTCAAATAATATTCTTTGTTGACAATTTGGCCAGTCAGAAGGATTTTGTTATGCAAAACACCATAACAATCAAAGAAAACAGTCAGCATGACCTTGATTTTTGACTGACTTTGACATAGTCTTTTTGGTTTTGTTTCACCATTTGAGTGCCACTCATTTGATTATTGAGCTATTTTGATGTCAGAAGCATACATTCATGTTTCATCACCCATAACAATGTGTTTTAAGAATGATTCACCTTGATAAAGCATTTCAAAGCAAAGCCATTTGAACACGTTGTTTTTGGGACAACTTGAGAAGCAACACACTGCAAGCCCAAATGATCTTTTAAAATTGCTTGACAAGATCCAAATGATACTGGAACATATTTAATAATGTCCCTATTTGTTAAACAACAATCATCAAGCACCATATCTCTGACTTGAGCAATGTGTTATTCATCAGTTGAAGTGGATGGTCTATCTTTGACATGTTCTCTGCCTTCTTTGAACATCTTGTACCATTCAAGATAGACTATCACTACCAAAGACTTTTTGCAATGTTTGCAACGTTTTTGTAGTAGTACAGTAGAGCGTCATTTATCTGAATCAATTGGTGACTGGGGTTGTTCGGATAACCGATTATGTATGAAAAAACATATTAACCTACCCCATGTTGAAATTTTTCTCCGTTGCGTGTCACTTTGCGTTGAATTTTCGTCGATGTTAAGCCTAACATAAACTTTTTAAAATAATAATCATGACTATTGTATCATTAAAAATTATTTCTTTATTTTTTACAAACAAAATTAGAAAAATATTCTAATTCCATGGTTATGTGCATGGTTGTATTTTGCTTGCTTGCTCCACAGACTTGGCTCACTTGTTTCCAATATAAACTATTTATAACTTTCTTCACTCTACCTCTTGCAGGGTAGGTGTCCAACTCTCACCCCTGCTTGCTTTGCTTTCTGTTCAGACCAACCCCTTTTGCTTTGCTTTCTCCTTTGAACCACTCCCCTCATTCACTTGTTCAAAAATTTTGACAATTCGTCAGTTCCTGTGTGATCGTTTCCATTTTTTTTTTTTTTTTTTTTTGCAAATCTACATGTTTGGAGACCTCCCGAACCCTTAAAAAAAGTCAATAAAAGGGAAAAATTCGCATGCA